TCGCCCATAAAACTCGATAACCACCGTTTTCGTAGAAAAACATGCAGGTTGTAGGTATTAATGAGTGGGGCTACATAAGATACTGTTGCTGTTGCTACTGCTGAAAGCCATCCAAACACTCGATCAACCTCAGCGTCCCGGAATCCCAAATTCGGGATGCGTATACATTTTCGGGAGCTGGCCTACGGTCTCCCTCCTTTGCCGTTGTAAGCCGGCGTCTTGAACTATGTACAGTTTCGTCAGGGAACTGAACGTTTGCTTACACAGACAGAGCAGATAAGCTAGTATATGAGCAGAGTCAAATACCTATTCGGAAAGTTTTAATTTTCTGCCGTGGAGATTCAGTTGGACATTTAGGCAATAACCTCCGACTTTTGTTTCATCAAAAGATCAGTATCCGAGAATATTGTTCGGCCATTGGAGACACGTGCTTAGACTGGTAACTAGTTTCAGCATGTCATAGGTACTCGAGCAGAACAGAAAAAAACATGTTTTATAAAAGTGAAACGCAAAAACAGCAAAACAACGAACCCGTGGCTGAATGGGTTAGCGGATGAGACTTCTAAGTAACAGACAACGGATTCGAGCCACGGGTAATGCACCAACTGGGATTGAGCCTGAATGGATGCTGACGACGGCCAACATGCCAGAAATGTTCATTCCAGCCTCCCTTTTTTGTCTATCATGGTATTCTACCAGTCACTGTGCGGCTGCTGGCGGGCCCGAGGTGAGCCCCAACAGAGAACGGGACGAGGGAGTTCTGTCAGCGATCGGCGAGCTCTCATCAAATAGTGTCAATATTCCAGATCGCAACTGACAGAAAAACGAGCCTGTGACCCAATGATTAGGGCGCTGGACTTCTACTCAACAGGTTGCGGGTTCTAGATAGACCTTGCAACACCTGGGTTGGGTATAGCTAGCTGAGGATGGCGCTCGGAGGGAAAAGGTGAAACCGCAACAGAATAAATACTACATCCTTACGCTGATAGTAACAAGCTGCATACAGAGACAAGAGGATAAACTGCAAACCAATTATCAGTCGCAATGTGCTCTGTTCAACCATTCCTACTTATTCGACCAACTTCAGGTCTCTCTAATATAATGAAGATGGACCTCGGGTAACGCTAAGTGAAAATATGTTGTTGCCGTCGACAAACTACGCCAACTAGAAAACTGACTGAGATCCTCACAATCACAATCACCACGAACAATGGCAAAAAAGCTAACTCATCTTGCTCCACCTGCAGTTAGAACGTAGATTTTAGTGTCGCTAGTTACCAATGGTAACGTTCAATTTCAGGGTGCTATACACACACTCAGAAACATAAGTACTGACCCAGACTTCAGACTCTGCGCGTGTAAGAGGTTCTTACAGCTTATGGATCCTGATTTAGCCTCCTCTCTCACACTCAGCACGAGTAAACCAGCATTCACGTCACCACACCTTATTCTGGAATCTCAAGCATGCGGCGCCTCGGTTCTCACAGTCCCGACGTTTGGAATTGAGGTCATCTTCCCATCGCTCTAACCCCCCTCCCGTGCTGGTTTCGAAACCGGATAATAAAAGTTTGTTTCCTGAGGTTTTACAAAAGAGACTCCTAAGGAACATTACTCTAGCCCCTGTTGTATTCCAATGAGAGAGAGAAGTTGAAACCCTCATCCCCAATTTCTGAAAAGCAGGATGCTTAACAAGGGCTCACCGCGTAGATCGGTCAAGAGAAATATGGTGAACCAACGGGGCGCGAACGAAAAGAGTCCAGACGAAATTACTCGAGTTTTTTTAGTCGATCGCGAAAATTTTTGACTTCTGTTCTTGGCAGGGATCGCTTCTGTTCTAGTTTAGCAGTAAAAGGCGCAGGACAATTGAAGCCTCAAAGATATAAATTGCAGGCACGGATTAGATCCGGTCCAACAATTTCAAACTAGTTTACAGCCAGCAGTCCATGTTATTAACCAAAGGCCACCAGGATTTCACGGCTCAGAAAGAGCACACGGCAGGTGAAGGAATAAATGTCTGTTCTCTGGGTTATGCCAAGCATAAATAATATGGGCAATTGAGCATAGGAATCCCCGGAAACGAAGTGCCTCTGTTGGTGTATAAAGTTATTTTTAATGGCGACATTCGTAAGCGACCCGAAAATTGACGAAAATTTCATTTTTTAAGTTCATACTTTTCGGCCAAAAATATATGCACACAAAGTAAACGATTTTATACATTAAAGTATCATCGAGAAGAGTGGAAAAGACTCCCAAATTTGCATTTCATACATTATATTATCATCGAGAAGAGTGGAAAAGACTCCCAAATTTGCAGCATTGCGGTGTATTTTACAGAAAAATATCTGGGGTTAGGGCGAACGGACGTCAGCCAATCATAAGTCTCTTCCTGCCACGAGCCTGCACCTCCTTAAAGGCAGAGAGTATAGTCTCAAGCTCCCGACGGCCATCTTCAAGAGTGGGCTTTGCGGCTGGTATGGTGGCATCCAATTTGTTCCGCTTCGACTGCTTTCGTCCACCGACGGCATCACCAAGGTTAGTGCCACGAGCAACCACCTGTGCTGCGTAAGCCTCTGAGTAGGCAGCCAGAAAGGCTGCAAAGAAGGTTTGAGGGCTGAAAAGTTCGTCCTCTTTGTGCTCATCCCGACAAGCCAACGAGCTGACTAGAGCACGTTCTAGCACATAAAGGTCCACGGCAACCTCTTCCCGAAAGCGCGCCGTCACGGGGTTGAAGGAGGAGAGGCCAAAGTCGATGAGGAAGAGGCGGTAGTCGGAATATTTCTTGCCGCAAACATTCTTCAGGGGGCGCATGAAAACAAGTGGGAGGAGATAAGGTTTACTCTTTGCCGAAAGGTGCTCCGTGTAAAAAAAAACCTAACGCGACAATTTCCGAAGGCTTCAATAAGGGCCGGTACTCAAACACATTAAAATAACGAGCTACTTACCGCGAATAAGTAGAAACTATGGGTATGACTGGCTGATGACGGCTAATAAGCCAGAAATGGCCATTCCGG